TCTCAGTCTCTAAACGGAGCGCGATGAAGAAGGTTGGCCTGCGCTTCGGTTGATCTTCGTATGTATGCGTGTCACACATTCACATACATGGGTGTATGTGTGCGTGCGATTTCGTTTCGAAGCCAGCGCACAAAATTTTGATTTTTCTTACTTTTCAGGCTTGCTACCCTAACAAAATTCGGGTATTCGTATTTGATGAAATGACGAAAGAAATTATATTATATTTTTTATTATATCAGCATACATTTTTAATTTATTTAGGAATAAGATTTAGGGGTTATATACAGTTGTGATATATGAAAAAAACGATTTTTTTTTTATTGCATATTCTTAAAGTATATTATATTGGGAATACTCTCACAAAAATTCATAACGATCGGAGCATTAGAACCGAAGCTGTAGCTATTTATAGCGCACTATCTGCATATAAAACTTGAACAAACTTGAAACTTTAAACGCGATTATCTCAGAATCTTTTTTTTGGGAAATTACCTTTGCGGTGGACACGATTACTAAAAAACTACTTATCCGATCAACACCAAATTTTGACCACTTATTTATTATAATATTAGCTAGTCCGTGAACCAGGGATTTTTAATTTTTTTTTTAAATCCTTTTTTAAAGCACAAAAAACGAAAATCTTATGCCTTGAAAAAATACATTTTTTGTTAAAAACGTCGCCATTTTTTTTTTAGTCAAAATTTTTAAAAATCCCTCGTTCACGGACTAGACAATACAATATACTAACTAAACTTTTTTGAATTTTGGATTTCGGATGAACCGTTTTCGAGAAATCATGTCCACCGCAAGACACCATGGAAAAAAGACGATCCGGGAATTCGGCTATAACGTTTTTGTTATGCAATCGTTTTTTATGAAAAAATTTAATTAAGTACCCAGAAACATGTACTAAACAACGTTGGTAAAACATTTTTCATAAATATTTTCTATGGTGTCAAAAAAAAATCGATAAAAATCCATATTTTTGCGCGGTACAACTGTATATAACCCCTTAAGTGTATACTACTAACACTATATACTATAGTGTATACTATACTAACAGAGTATATTTCAGTCGGAGTCACTTAAAGCGCCGATTGCTTTTAAGTTTTTGTTGTTCTGCAAGAGGCTTGTGCATGCCTACTCTAACGTTGGAATGATTTTTAGGGGAGGGTGAAGACCCGAAAACAGCTGATGGACTTGTTTACCTTTTTTTTTTACAATTTTTCAGGCACTTGTTATTATTATTATTATTATTATTATTATTATTAAAGGTAGAGCAGTTTACAAAACTAAACTAGCTTAGTGGGTATAGCACTGGCAGCGGGGCCTTTGGCTTTAAAGTCTAGTTGATAATGAGATTTTATACATGTTTTAAGTCTTAGGTTATGAATAGCTTAGGTCTATGAACGGAGGTTCGTGGGTTATATATTTACATAATTACATTTTAGTTACAATTTTCTGATTTTGGACTTCATGTTTTGTGGAACAAATTTGATTCTTTTAGAAAAGATATTATTTTTTGAAGGTTATCTGTGTTTAGTTGGTTGAGTAGGTTAAGTGGGTTTGTGTTTTTAAAGATAGAGTGCTTTATTTGATGGAGTGATGGGCATGAGTTGAGTAGGTGGGATATGGTGTTGTCTCCTTGGCAAAAGGGGCATGGGGATGTTTGGTTCTGGTTGAAGTAGTGTTCGTGGGTAAGTTTTGTGTGGCCTAGTCTGAGGCGTACTATTTTTATTTGGTCGAGCCTGCTCGACTTTGGGTTAAAAGAGGTTATGTATTTGTCGATGTTCGTGTTGTCTTTGTTTATGGATTTATACCATTGACTGCATTGTTCAAAGTTTTGTTCCTGTCTTGTTGAGAATTCTGACCTTAAATGTTTGTTTATGTCTGTTAAATTTATGTTTGGGGTGAAAATGAGAGGGATTTTCGCTGCTGACTTAGCGGTTTGGTCGGCTAGCTCATTGCCTGCTATGCCTACATGGCCAGGAATCCACAATACTTTTATTTTTGGTGCTAGCTTTGTTAGATGTGATCGGATTTTGTTTGAGTAAGAGTTGTTACAATTGCTGAGAGGGAGTCAGAGCAAATCATGAATTTACCCCTCAAACTTTTGACATGATCAATTGCTTCTTGGATGGCTATTATTTCGGCGGAGAGTACTGAAGAGTATGGGGGGAGCATACCATATTTTAAAATGTGGTTTTCTGTTGTGACTGCGTAAGTTATTGTGGAATTTATTTTTGATCCGTCTGTGAATATAAACTTGTAGGATTTGTGTCTATCTTTGGTATGTTCGTATAGTTTTCGATATGTGTCTGGGGGTGTTTGTTTCTTGTGGATTCTGAACGTTGTATCTATAAGATTGGGGATTTCCCAAGGTGGATTGAATTTTTGTAGTTTTTGTGGTTGGTATGGTAAGTTTAGTGAGAGGCAGAGTTGTATGGTTCGGTCTATGGTGGTTAGGTTTTTTCTGATTTTCCGATGCTTAACAAATTTGTGTATGGGTGTGTCTCTGGAAAAAATTAAGTTTTTGCTAAGCTTGGCTGTTTGTAGGTCTCGTTTTTGCTCTATTGTGAGAATATTGGACTCGTTGATTAAGTTAGATATGGGGGTTGTTCGGAAGGCTCCAAGGGCTAGGCTAGGCGAAGCGCAGCATTGAACAGGGTCTTTAATTTGTTTAAGGTGCTTTTCGGTGAGTGTCCGTAAAGGAACAAACCGTATTCCAGTTTAGCAATGACCGTTGCTTTGGCGACGTGAAGGAGTGTGTAGGTATTGCAATTAAATTTATGGCTGGATAGGCATTTTATTATATTTAGTTTTTGGTGGAGTGAGGGTATTAGTGAGTTTATGTGTGTGTTCCACTTGTATTTATTGTTAATTGTTAATCCTAGGATTTTGAGAGAGGTGACGGTGGGTATTTGTATGTTGTTGCAGGTTATAGTACAAGTGCAGTTGCGTTTTTTGCAAATGTGAAGGTGTTTGCACCTTGCTAGGGGAAGGGATGCTCCGGAATATGAGCACCAGGTGTTTATATTATTTAAAATGTAGTCTAAGTTGAGGTTTTTATTTCTCTTTTCTTGGCAGTTTATTATGAGGAAGAAATCGTCGGCGTATGCGTTAAATTTAATATTTTTGTGTAAGGCTATAGTATTTGCTAGTTTATTGTAGGCTATTAAGAATAGTATAACTGATATAGGTGATCCTTGGGGGATACCGTTATGTAGGGGATGAGAATTGGATATGTGAGGTCCTACACGGACAATTATTTTTCTATTGAGCATGAAATTTTTTATGTAATTTATTATTTTAGGGCCTATTTTCCACTCCTGGAGTTGGTCTGTAATGGTGTGCACCCCTACTCGATCGAAGGCTCTTGAGAAGTCAAGAGAGATGAGTGATGTGTGCTTCTTTGACTTCATTATGAGGTAGTCTACGTAGAGTAGACTGTCCGAAGTCGATTTTCCTTTTTTGAAGCCAAATTGGTTTTGATTAAGCACTTTATTCACGGTTACAAACCACCATAGTCTTTTAGCAATTATTTTGTCGAGAGTTTTTGCAAGACAGCAGTTGAGGGATATGGGTCTGTATGAATTTATTTTTGTTTTTTCAGTTTTTGGCTTGAGGATCGGTATGACGAGGCTTGTTTTATAGGCTTGCGGTATGTGACTGTCTAGTATTTTGTTAAAAAGGTCTGTTATTCTGTTTTTTGTGGTACGTGAGATGTTTTTTATCATTTCATATGAGATTCTATTTAATCCTGGAGTGGCTCCCTTAAGCGTTTGTAAGGCTGACGTTAGTTCGAGGAGAGTAATTTTTTGTAGGGTGTAGTCGTATGTGTTGCTTTTGTATTTGTTGTTTCGGAACTCCTCTGAGAAGTTCCGATCGTTTGAAAGCTGTGAGAAGTGCCGTGCAAATATATTAGCAATTTCGTTGGTAGAAGTTGTAGGGGTGTTATTTTCGGGGTTTTGTATTGCGTGGATTTGTTTGGCTGGGTTAAGTCCGTAAAAGCGTCTTATATTGTGCCATATTTTGGATGAGGGTGTTGACGGAGCTATGGTGGATGTAAAGGAGTTGGATGCTTCTTTTTTACTTTTTTTCATTTCAAATCTATATTTGGCATTCTTGCGTCTGTAATCTGTTATGTTTTGAAGGTTTATGTTGCGATTAAGGGTGTTCCAAGCTAATTGTTTTTCTTTTTGTAAGTGAGCTAAGTATTTATTCCACCAGGGAACCTTGTATGGTTTAGAATTTGGTGAGGTTTGCGGAATAGAGCTGTTTGCACTATGCGAAATGATTTTGTTGATTTGGGCAGCCTCTTTGTTTACATTTTCAGAGGGGGCAAATTTGGAGTCATATTGGTGTGTGAGGGCAGAGTACTGGTCCCAATTGGCGTTTTTTAATTTAAAAAAGGGTTTGTTGAATTTATTTACCTTTTTTAATGGAAAAAGAGAGATGATTATTGGGAAGTGGTCGCTCCCATGAAGGTCATCGAGTATTTTCCACTTTGTGTGTGGGGCTAGTGATCCCGAGCAAAGGGAAAGGTCAATGTGTGTGTATGTGTTGTGCGTTGAAAAATGTGTTGGTGATTTGTCATTTAAGAGGATAAGTTGGGATGTGTCGATAAATTTTTGTATAAGTTTGCCTCTTGGGTTAGTGGTAGGGGAGCCCCAGGCTGGGTGCCAACCATTAAAGTCCCCCACTATTAATGAGGGTACTTGATGTCTATGCAATGTGTTTTCTAGTATTTGTCTTGAGATAGTTTTGGTCGGAAAGATGTAAACTGTCTGTATGTGTAGGTTTTGCTGGGATTTTACGAGTATTTCTAGTATTTCGAGATCGTTTGGGGTGTTGATTATAGAATGTTCGATCGATTTGTGTACTAGTAGTGCTACGCCGCCAAATCTGTTCGTGGCTATGTTAGTTAGTAGAGTGTAGTTTACGGGGGTGGGTATGCTATAGGTGTATTGTATGTGTGATTCTATGATGTGTGGGGAGTGGTTCTTTATCAATATTAGAAGTTGGTTATAATTGTTAGAGTAACCTTTTATATTCCATTGCATTATATTAAGGGACATTTTTGCGGTGAAGATCGGGTTAGTTTAGGATAAGGTTGGTGGATTTTAGATGGATTCGTTGTCGCTGTTATTGGTATGTTTGTTTTTGGTTGCGGGTTTAGTTTTTGGTTTGGATGGTTTGAAGTTAGTGGAGAGAGAGTTTGACTTATCTTTGGAAAATATTTTTAATGTTAAGTTCTTTGTAATTTGTGATGCGTAAAGTGATTTTGGTGTGGTGTCTGTAATGTCGGTATCCATGGCCTCGATGTCGTCTTGCTCTTTCTGTGGAGTGTGATTTTGGAGGTGTTCTTTGGGTGATTTTGGCGCTTTAGTTGAGGTTCCGTGGGATGTTGATTTGGTTATGGTGTTTTGTGTGTGATTTTTGTGTGTAGTTTTTTCTATTGGTATGGTGGTATTTGAAGATTGGGGTTTTGGGGGTCGACCTTCTCGGTAGTTTTTATAGCTGTAAGTTCCTGTTGCTTAAGGAATGTTGGACATTTACGGTCAAGCGGGCTGTGTTGGGAGTTTATTTCCGGATTGTTCTCGCAGTTGAGGCATTTTTTATCTTTTTGGCAGTGTAAGCCTTCAGTGGTGTGTTTTTCTTCCGAGCAATTTGAACATTTGTCTGTGCTTTTGCATATGGGAGTTGGGTGTCCAAATCGAAGGCACTTTTTGCAGCGTAGCGGGAGTGGTATGTAGTCACGCACGCGAACGGTTTCGTATCCAATTCGAAGTATTTCGGGAAGTTTGTGGGATTCAAATGTTAGAATTATTAGGCCAGTTTCGGTGGTATTGGTGTTGGTGTTGTTGCTTGTAGTTTGTTTCTTCATTGTTTTTTTTACTTCTATGACTTTTTGGGGTTTAAGCTCTTGAAGGATGGTCTCTTCATCAATATATCTGAGGTCGTTGCTGTAGATCACTCCTTTCGAGGAGTTTAGTGTTTTATGTTCCGTAACCAGTATTTCCATGTTTGCAATTTTGTTTAGTTTAAGCAGTTTTGTAGCTTGAAGGTGAGTTTTTGTTTTTATTAGTAGGGTTCCGTCTCGTGTTTTTTTTACCGAATCAACTTCTCCTCCGCAGGCATAGTCTATGGATTTTTGGATTATGAAGGGGGAAACTGTTCTAAATGATTCATTGTCCTTTCTTTTTACTACCATGAATTTCGGGTCTTTATGTTGGTATGTTTTTGGGGTGTATCGTCCAATATCGGGTGGTTCGTGCATGGTTATTGCAAGGGTCTTGGACCCGGGTTGAGCAATATACGCGTGTTTTTTGTTGTTGGGTTTTTAAGTTTTTCTTTGTGGTCAATATTTGTTTGTTTAATTTTGCTGATAAGCTTTGTGGGGTTTGTTCACGCAGGTGTAAAAATATATTAAAAAATATAATATAAAAAATAATATAATTTCTTTCGTCATTTCATCAAATACGAATACCCGAATTTTGTTAGGGTAGCAAGCCTGAAAAGTAAGAAAAATCAAAATTTTGTGCGCTGGCTTCGAAACGAAATCGCACGCACACATACACCCATGTATGTGAATGTGTGACACGCATACATACGAAGATCAACCGAAGCGCAGGCCAACCTTCTTCATCGCGCTCCGTTTAGAGACTGAGAAACAGAAAACATTTAATGAGAGAATGAGCGTAAGATGAACGAACGATGAGCGTAAGAGAGAGTAAGAAATCCGCTCTGGGGCCTGTCGCAAGAAATTTTCGCGTCCATTTTCGTTGTATGAAATGGGTTGTCTATATACTGTATGGTTAGTGGCGACACGCACTACCAATTAAACACGCCCTATTTTCCTTTGCACGCAGTATAAAGGGTGGTTAAATTGTAAGGGCCGATGTTGAATGTGAACCACACCTAAACGGCAAGTTTTTTTCCGAAAATTATTTGACATTTCTCTATTTCAGACTTACTCAATTTGAACCATGGAGAGAAACACAATCCAATAACGTGTTAAAGTTATCCTGACTATAATAAGTATAGCATAATAGCAAATGGGCGTTCAAATCAAAATGCATATCGTGCCCTTCTTGTTTGTTTTGGTCAATTTGATCGTCCAAATGTGCGTACTTTCGCAAAAATCTTGGAAAAATTCGAGAGAACCGGGTCTGTAGAATATGTGAGAACACCAGTGCATGCTCGTACAGCTCGGTTTATGGGCTGGCGGCATCATCGGGGCCGTAGTTTTTCAAAATGAGGCCGGTCAGGCAGTGACTGTGAATGGTGTTCGCTAACGTAACAATGGCCCTTTTGCGCAACAAATTCAATGGCCGTGTTATCTCACGTAATTGCAATGTCAATTGGCCGCCTAGATCATGTGAGTTGACACCGTTCGACTTTTTCCTTTGGGGTTATTTGAAAAAAAAAGGTGTACATCGGTAAGCCAGCAACAATTCAAGAGCTAAAGGATGAAATAATTCGGCACATTAACGGCATAGAACCTCCATTATGCCTCAGGGACATTGAAAATTTGGACCATCGGATGGAGGTGTGCCGCCGTGGTCGCGGCCGATATTTTGTTCCATACATAATTGAATAATACTAATATATAATAATAAAAAATATTACAATAATTTCCTAAATAGCTTGTTTTATTGAAAATCAACATCGGCCCTTGAAATTTAACCACCCTTTATAAGTCGGAACGTCCGAACTCCGTTCGCCACCAGATGGGTCCTTTTTTGTAACATTTCGTTGTTTTTAAAAGATCGAGACATTTTTTATTTGTTTTATATTTGAAAAGGCGTGTGTTTCCGATATGGGAAATGGGAAACGTCACGCGCCAATGATCTTCGTGTGCTCACTCACTGAATTCTCTCTCTTCTCTCTCTTCCTCTTAAGCGAACGGTCGTTCTTTTTTTGTGCGCACTTCGCAAGTGCTGTGGTATATTTGGAGGCGAATTAATAATTTGTCTCAATTCAATACCAAGCATAGCTCAGCTCTGCATCTTATACGTCTTACTTTATTTCTGCATTTTTCCTTTGTACTCTCCAAAGCTCCAGCTTCGGCTTCCTATTTGGCACAGTCGTTCAAGGTATAGTGTTTTTTTTAACTTTTTATACCCTTGCAGAGGGTATTATAATTTTGTCCAAAAGTGTGCAACGCAGTGAAGGAGACATCTTTGACCCTATAAAGTATATATATTCTTGATCAGGATCACCTCCTGAGTTGATATGAGCATGTCCGTCTGTCCGTCTGTCCGTCTGTCTGTCCGTCTGTCTGTCCGTCTGTCTGTCCGTTTCTACGCGAACTAGTTTCTCAGTTTTGAAGCTATCGTCTTGAAACTTTGCACACACCCTTCTTTCCTTTGCACGCAGTATATAAGTCGGAACGGCCGGGATCGGCCGACTATATCCTATAGCTGCCATATAACTGATTGATCGGAAATGGTATAACTTTGGTGTTTTTAGAGTTAGAGAGTTCAAATTTGACACGAGCGCTATTTTTGGCAAAACATTACGACATGCCAAATTTCATAAGGATCGGCCGACTATATCCTATAGCTGCCATATAACTGAACGATCGGAAATGACCCAACTTTCGTGTTTTTGAAGATAGAAAGCTGAAACTTAATAGAGATTCTATTTTTGGCCAGTTGATCCAACCTACCAAATTTCATTAGGATCGGCCGACTATATCCTATAGCTGCCATATAACTGAACGATCGGAAATGGTACTTGGTAGAAATATCAACTTTCGTATTTTTGAAGATAGAAGTTTGGGACCTTTTTTTAGTTTTTATATTTTAGTTAATTAGTTTTTTTATGATGTAATCATAAGGATCGGCCAACTATATCCGATGTTTGCGATATATATCCGGTTTTAACTGCAAGGGTATATAAACTTCGGCTCCGCCCGAAGTTAGCTTTCTTTTCTTGTTTTATATTCATTTTGTTTATTAATTAAAAATATGGAATTTAAACTGGTCTGTTCTATGAAGTGTAACAAGACAGTTTCCTCATCCCAGCCTACCATCCATTGCTGGCTATGTGAAAACGTCGTACATGCCAAGTGTGCCGGGTTCACTGCATCAGTTTCGGATACCATTTCCCGTAGGTCTGGGATACATTATTGTTGTGAAAATTGTCGTGCTGTCCAAGGCGAAATGAGGTCGTTCATGAGACAGACCAAAAATGGATTTAAAGAGCTGATCACTGGTTTTCGTAAAATCAATGACCAGCTCTGTGCGCTTGACACTCAGTTTAGTGGCCTTAAGCTGCTAAAAGAGTCCCCTAAGCGTAAGAAATCCGCTGTTTCTGATCCGCCTCAGCCTGCTCAGCCGACATCAATGCAGCCGCTCATGTATCTCTGGCCAGTGGCCACTGCAAGGGCTAGAACTGAGAACAATTCGTCCGAATTTCTTAGGGAAAATGAGCAATTGCCCGATATGTCCGCCATGGCATCTTTTCAAGTGATGCCACAGGTCATAGTGAACGAAACTCCCGTTAGAGTCACCTAAAAGGGTATTCCACAGTCCGGACCTCCGGCACCGACTGAGGCTGCAGTTCTCGTACCTGCGACACCAAAACGCTTACAAGTGATTCCATCATCGAAACATATATTTGTTTCTCGGCTTGCCCCTGATACTATCTCGGCGTATTTCAAAGCCAAAACAAAATCCGATTTGAAGCTGGAGGACATAGCTAAATTTAAATATAATTATAAACGGCGCAAGTCTTCTTTCAAGATTCGTGTGCCCGCGCTGATGTTCAAGACGATTTGTTTACCCAGTTTTTGGCCAGATAATATTTTGGTCCAAGAACATCAGCCTAGTTCCGTGAAGAAAAAAGTTATAAAACCAGTGGGAGTTAAACTACCCGATATCAGAACCACTGACCAACCTTCCACCTCTTCTTCGTCCACTAACCCAAATAACTAGTATCGTCATTAACACTTACCATTCACAATACTAGGGGGCTATGTAACAAGCTCTCCAAACTATATTCTGATAGTTCTTTCTTTGCATCCCATATTATAGCCTTAACAGAAATTTGGTTAAAGCCAGAGATCTTTAGCTCCGAAGTTTTTCCAAGTAAGTACACCACTTTTCGAAGGGATCGACCTCAGTGAAGGGGGTGGAGTCCTCATTTCGGTAGACTCCACTCTTGCTTCTGAGGAGGTGAAATCACAAAAGTTTGGTGACATTGAGTTTATAAGCATTAAAATCATTTTGTCCGAGAAATCTTTATACATTACATGTTCATATATACCTCCTATGTCTGATCCGCCCACATATTGGCAGAATTTGTTCGTAGCGGTGGGTGACTTTAATACACCATAATTAAAGTGGTCCAACGTCAAGAACTCACCATCTTTGTCACTTATCACTCACCATGACTTCACTGCGGTCATGTTTGACATGTACCTAGGTCAGATTAACCATATTAGAAATTCGTTAGGTCTTCGTTCGTTTAGGCTTATGTTTTGTATCTCATCCTGATGGCACCGTTCTCTCCAGAGCTTTTCCCCTCTCAACCCCAGAGGATCCATATCAACCCACGCTGGAGGTATCAATCGAAACCATTCTTGGTATCGATCAGATGTCTCCACGCGTGGTAAATAAGATTCGCTGTTTCCGTAATGCTGATTTTCATAAACTTAATAGCCTTATCGATACATATGACTGGTCCGATATTCTGGCATGTACTGATCTTAGCGTGTCCTTATATATATGTGCCATGGAAATATCCGTCCGCATAAACAAATCCTCCTTGGTTAACAAGGTGCCTAACTAACCTAAAAAATACTAATAATAGGCTCTTACTTAAATATAAAAAAACCTGCAATAGTATTGATTTCTTAAGATGTCTACTAGCTCGGTAAAATTTTTCCGTGCATAACATTAAATGTTATAGGAATTATATTCGCCGCCGAATTATATATATAATTTTTAAGCACTAAGCGTAAACACGTATCTCTTTCACCCCTGCTTACGTTTGAAAATTCCTCTGCGACCTCTGATCAAGCCATTGCAGATCTATTCGCTGAATTTTTTCATACAACTTATTCTCCGCCTAAATTGACAGATCTGGCTTACGCATATAACATTCAAGAAGCAACTCTTATTTTCTGTCCGTTTTTCTCTGAGAACAACTCTTCTAAGACTTTTCAACTTATCTTTGGAAACCTCAATTTTTCCCCTTCTACTATGTCTTCTTTTCCAATGTCTACTAGCTCGGTAAAATTTTTCCGTGCATAACGCTGAATGTTAGAGGAATTATATTCGCCGTCGAATTATATATATAATTTTGTAAGCACTAAGCGTAAACACGTATCTTTTTCACCCCTGCTTACGTTTGAAAATTCCTCTGGGACCTCTGATCAGGCC